AATCATTCACAATTTATAGCTATTTGTTGCAAATATTTAGTTAGATTATCTATCAACTTGTTGGTGGCCTCATTTTTACTTTTTTTATTTTTATAGTAGGTCTTAGCTTCAATTTTTTGGGCTTTCGCAATCACATCATCCGATGTTTTGAAGTCTTTTACAGATATTAACATAGCTATTTTACTACAAAAGCTTTCTAAAAACATTCTTATCATGTAAGTTATGGGTAGCTGTCAGTTAGAGTTCACTTTTTCAATAATCATTTAAATTGGTAGGTATATCGATCCAACTTCTCGTTTTCTTTCTGCTTTTATGTATTTAGCTCCACTTGCTACTGATGCTTACATTCTGGGGTTGTAAAATATTTAACAAAAGCTTGAACAAAGCTATTATTTGGGTTGATTTCATTATTTCAGAAAAGGAAATCATCTTTATAATCATTATATCAACTAGCAACAATTCTCATCAAGTGGCCTGATGTGATTTTGATTTTTTTTGTTAAGGTCTAATTGTTAGTATTTGTAGCTCTTTTGAAAGCTTCAACCCATTCGACTGGATTCTCATTCTTTTCACTCTTGAAGATTTTAACATAGATCCAGTTATTTTCACGGCTAACTGAAGAAATATTATATATAGCGACTTCTTTAAAGACTTGAGCTATCTCTCTAAGAAGGTTATGGGCCTATGTTTGTTGAGTGGGTTGATCATCTTGGTTTTAGGCCCATTTTCTTCTATGCTTGATCATTTTCGAATAATAAATCTTTCATATTTTTAAGCTAAGTTTCAATTTAACAATTGATTAGTTTGATTTGTTCTTATTTTGTATTTAATAATGAAAATATGTTAATTTAGGTTGTAATAAGAGTTATAACTTAGATGATTAGAGAAGTTCAATCTTACAATCACCACTAAATGTAAAGGTTTGAATTTGTAGGCTATATTGGAAAAGTTATAGGGTCACTCTATAATAACTTACTACTTAAAATACCAACAATAATTAGAATACTTTAATTGAAATACTAAAACTACTTTAACCAAACCCCAATATTGATAAGGCAATGATTGAGGCATGGAGAGATATGGTCTAAGTAACAAAAGTTAATTGATTAAGCAGAAATAGTATTAAACTAAGATAAGTACTCTCATCTCTATAGTAAGTACTTTACTTTCTTTAACACCTTCGTTAACATCTAGAATTCTTCTTTTCTAGGTACTGTGGCTAGATCTTATAATCCAAATTGACCAATCAGAATATAATACAAAGTTACAGTATCACAGAGTCATGGATCAGATAAAATGACATTGATCATAAACTTTATCAGAGCGATTTTTAACATATAAGGACTTGTATTGGCCCTATTCAAAGCTAATTTTGTGATTTAGAAGTATTACTTATTATGGCTAGACTATATTCACAGGTATATGTAGATCTTTAAAAATAGAATGAATATTTGATTTGTTTTTTATCATATATTATATGATTTTTATATAATATGAAAAATAACAGTTTTGTGTATTTTGCAATGAGCTTAATTTTACATTAGGATGGTATGGACGATGATTAAATTATAGATTACTAAAAAGAAGTATTGTAATTCTAGAGCCAATAAATCTTCATTAAATTAATATTAGTTTTTTGTACTTCTTCAAAAAACTATATATAGTTAAATCTTTCTATAACAAACTAACAGTTCTGGAGAACTACTATAAATTTTAAAATTTGAGTTCATTATATTTAGAATTTGTTATATAGAGGTTCATTATAGTTAGAGTCAACTGTAGTAATAAGTATATTTGTAATTTATTATAAAAAATCTCTCTTTGCGATCTATAATCTGTTAATTAATATATTTTTCAATGTTTATAAACTCAGCTAATTTATAATTCTAATTTAATCATTTAATTCAGAGAAAGAATTATCCAGAGTTGAAAAGCTTTATAAAAAAGTTCATGTCGATTATGATCATGTAGCTGTTAAATAAAATCTTTCAATCACTAGATTGTATAATTCTTTGAAATATGAAGATGAATTCTACTACTTTATCTAATACTTTGGTAGCCACTTCTGGTATTAAAACTAGTAGTTCTTCAAAGTATAAATATATTATTAATGAACTTGGTTCTTTAAAAATATTTGGATAATAAATTTTTTCTTTTTCTTGAAAAAAAATTTTAATTATTCTTTTTATTAATTTGACACATTTTACTTGTTAAAAAAAGGACCTGTCAATATGAAATTGTCTGAAAATGTTTTTCTTACTAATTATAAATGTGCTGTAAATTATTGGAATATTATTTATATTTAAAATCTGAAAGAAAGGTTATAACGAATGCATACTTGAAGTCTGCTTAAAATTTTAATGGATTAGAGAAAATATATTAATTTAAAATTTTTAAAATTGATTATACTATTATATCGAAAACTGAATTGACAAGATTATAATTCAAGTTAACAGATAAACAGTTCAAAGGTTTATTAAGCAAAAATATGCCCTAGAATTCTGCTATATCACACAGACCAGACTACTAGCTTAAACTAATATATGAAAAAGCATAGCTTTCAGATAAGTATAATTTAATTAGCGGCTTATTTGAAATTATTAGATAAGTTTTAATAATAACTTCATTGTCAAATTAAATATAAAGATTAGTTGTTATAGTCAAATAACACCTCGTCAAAATCAAGAAGTAAGATTTGTAACCAATTCCTCTTATCTCCAAGCAGAATCCTGCTATTATATATACTGTATCTTTAAACTTCATATCAGTTGGTTTGCTTTATATAATATAAGAGACCACAGACTGAAGCTACATATTTCAAATTTAGTTTATTACGATAATACCCAGCATAATTATAGTTGCTATTTCTGTTTCTAAAAGTTATCTTGTCTTAGTTTGTATATCAATCGCATTGATATAGGCTGCATATTCTCAATAGATAATTATTTAATAAAATATCCTCTTCTATCACCTTAATCTTTATTATCTTCTATTAATCTTAAAGCATTCTTTTGTTGCTGTTTCTGGAAGCTAGCTTGTTTTAGTTTGTATATCAATCACACTGATATAGACTGCATATTTTTAATAAATAATTATTTAATAAAGCTTAACCTCTGGTAGAAGCTTTCAACTATAATAAACATATCACATGCATGCAATACTTTGATTAAAGTTATTATTTGAGTGCATGAGAGTGAAAACCTGAAAATTGATTTAATAATTTACTATGACTAGTTTTTAAATTTTTACTCTCACACACTTTATTTGATATGCAGATTCTAACAATTGTTATAACAATAAGACTTTCGTATAATTCGATTATATTAATAAATTACATACATATGTATGTATTTTTTTTTTTCTGAAAATTGGTCTTCCAATATTATAATTTAAAACTATATTTAGCTATATAAGCTATAAATTATTATGAATAAGCTTTTTTTTATTAGATAATAATAGTTAAAAAGAATCTTAATAATTAGCTTAAATATATAATTTTGTTTATTATTTGCAGAATGGTTATATATATAAATATTTGTTACTTCACATAAATATTTATCAATTTTTAAAGTTGTTTTTTAAATGGATCATTTAAGAATCACACACTTTTACTATATACCCTAATAAAACAAATAAAAAATTTTATAATATAGTTCTTTATCAACTTTTCAAAATATATATTCATTTGACTTTTTGTCTGCAAGTTCATCTAACACTACTTTACCTGTATTAGGATGTATTCATCTAATGAAGACTTAGCTATTCCATCATCACAAATAAAGAAAAAATAAAAAATCATTTAAAGATAATGATAGTAGTAACAAATTATGGTCTGATTCAACTATTAAATTGTTGCTCACTTATTTATCTAAAAATTTTGATAGTTATCATAAAAATAAAGAAAAATTCTATGCAAATATGGCTTTACATCTAGATAGCAAGACAAGTATTCAAGTTCGTGATAAATTGTAAAGACTAATTAAAAAATATTCTAATAAAAGTAAAGCAAAAAAGAAAGCTATATATTACAATGGTCTTATTACTCTTTAATAAATAAAATTTTCAGTAATCATGAAAACATTTATTTCAAGTATTTAATTAATAGCACTGGAAAGATATATATTAACAATATGTTACCAACATATATGTATATATATATATACTATATTATGTATATATACTAATATATATATATACATATGTACATATGATGCAAAAATCTTAATTTCTATTACTATATTTAACTTTCTTAAATTATTGAGCTAAAATCTGAATTTAGGTTGATCTTTATTATATATAAAGTGATTAAGGTTTTGGATTTTCTGCATCATATGTATGTATATATTTTTATTCATATATTATATAATTGAATCTTTATACTAAAATATATTCTGTTAATTAGCACTATAGTACTAATATTAATAATGATAAAGAGAAAATTCAATGTAAAAAAAATTAAATGATAATGATTTATTATATATTGAGTCAGTAGCAGTTATTAGTCAAAATAAAAAAATTGTAGCTGAAAGCAGAAAAAAATAGCATGATGAACATTTGGCACTTGAGTGAGAAAAATTTAATTTAAAAAAAGAGTTTAAATCAAAAGACATACAATTGCGAGAATTGGAATATGAACTGAGAAAAAAAGAAGTTGAGGCCCGTATTAAAATGGAAAATGAAAAATTAGAGTTAGAAAAGCAAATAAAAATAAATTTTGAACTAAAATTAAAGGAATTGAAATGAAATTTAAAGAATTAGAAATAAAACATAAGTATTGTGAGGTATACACTTTTGAATAACTGTTAACTGTTTTATAGTTCTTGAAAGTTAATAAATTCTCTTTTGTACCTATAGCACAAAGAAAGATTAGCCTGTAAATATCGAATTAGTGATTTTCTTGATAGGACCAGTTCAAATTTTTATATAAACTTTATATTAATTCAAACAGGGCCAGAAAACAATATATTAATTCAGACAGGGACTAGAAACCAAAGTGTATATATTCAATATTATTTTTCATTTGCAAATTAAAATATAACATATTATTTTATAATTGTATAAATTCATACAAATATAAAAATTTTATATTCACAATTATTTTATATGTGCTATATAGAATTTTTTTTTAAAAAAAGAACAATTTTTGCTTTGGTATTACAATCAATCTTCTGGC